ACCAGGTAGGATCGGACAGTTGTTAGTCAGCTTTATCTATTTCAGTGAGGAAAGCAGCTATTTCGTTTTGAAGCTTGCAAAAACGAAACAATACTTTATCGCAACTGAGCCACCTCATTGATATGTGATAAGGCAGATCACATTATCCAGAAGTAATATCTTCCAGAAAGGACTGAAACTGACGATGATTGAGAGCATATCTTCGAATGAAGTTAACAATTGAAATGACAAGTTTCAGCACAAAGGAATATCCAACTTTTTCTCACCGAGTGCGCGTTGATGTGGAATGTAGCGTAGGAAAAGAGTGACCTGGATGTACAAATATTCTAACCGATGCCCGATCTGTCATACCATAACTTCCAAAATAAAGGCCATGTTTTTCCCACCATCAATTGTAACACATCGAAGCGGATTCCACGGTAGGTTATAGTCGTGGAAAATTCTGTGTAGTTTCAAGAAAATGTCCTTTCCATTTGTTGTTTCATGCGTGCTACCAACCGGTGACAACTCTTCTGATAGCTGAAATTCCGAAATGAAATCGCGAATGAACATGAGAAGTTGTGGGGTAATCGAGAGATTAGCGGACTTAAATAGCACTAGAGAATACCACAAAAAGTCCTCAGGTTCCTCATGTGTCTAAAGCGCAGTTCTCCCCAAGTTCTTTTGTTCTCCACACAACTGAACTTGCCGCAATTTTGATACTTGCAAACAAATCGCATTTCTCGGGACACAAGTCATTCACACCTTCCATCATATACTCCGATTAAGTTATCAAGATTAAATGGTTTTCCTCTTTCCGCCATCTTATGCATTATTTTGTAACTAGTACGACTGGCAGCTTCATTTTCAGATAGCGTTCTCGTGAAGAGAGTTATTTGGGTTTTTAAACCACGTTTCACGGACTCATAAATCGACGAGCGTTGCCACCTCTAAAAATTTCAATATGGTGATAGGTGTTTTGTTTCATAATGATGCTATAGATTGTACTCTTACAAAACGGCGACACTTTCGCCTCCTATCACACAATAGGTTTTCCGGTCCATACTTACTACAAGGAAATATTCTACTCCCCATGCTTCGTTAGAAACGCAACACTCGGCGTCCACTTTTCTCTTCTTAATAGTCATGAAGAGCAGTGAAGTAAACAAGAGCTGAAAATGAGAAAGGCATTGAGTTGGGAACCATAGCATCTTATTGCAACACAAGCAAAATTAGTAGTTAATGGTCACTGTGGCGATGCTATGGCTCACCAAATGTGCACGTGAACTTTCCATCATACAGTTTACAGGTAACTTTGGTAGTATATCACATATTGACCGTTACACATCTGTGCATAGGGCCGACATATATAGACAGCTAGCAACAGTGGTTTATAACTTTGGTTCGGCAAGTGGCAGCCAGCGCCGCAGAGGCAGATCGAAATCGCTTACATCCAACGCTTCCTCCATTATGGCTTATCAAGTGCAATGCAACCTTCGCCGTCTCCACAGTTAGCAGATATGTGACCTGTATTGAGACCACAGTAACATGCTTTCCTTGTCTTGATGAGGGTACCCTTCTCATGAACATCATGGGCCCGAAAAATCTGCGACGACGCCGTGACATACAACCACAACTGGTGTTGATACAGGTTACTGCGCCATCGCGAGACTTGCTTATATGTCGCTTGAATCAATGAACAGGAGAGCCACGTGAAAACCACTACGCACTGCGATGTACCTGTGTGAACGAGACGACCGCGCGGGTCACATTCAGACTAACATGCAAGCAAGTGAGTGTAACCAAGCGGACATTCAGGATAATGGAGGGCGAAACGCTACCGAGCTTACCGTGTGAAGTGCGACGTTACCGTGTGAGCGTTCCCCCTGTGAGTAGATAGCATGCTGCGTATCGCGCAAACTGTCAAAAATGCAATGCGACATGAAGGGGCCAAACTTGGCTGGGTTGCAACGGTAATATCGTATGAAAGTATTCAGAGTGGGTCATGGAAAGTGTACTGGTACGAAGACTTAAACACAGAGTTAGGATGGAAGTGTGGATTAGTTGAATGCTCAAATTCCAGTAGTGTTGAAACGACGTCGCGGGCCGGATCTGGCCCGCGGGCAGTAGTTTGGTGATCCCTGACTTACATCAACAAAACACATCCAGTGCAGATTTGAGAACGCGCAACAGCTAATGCATATCTGCATCATATGTCGTCCAAGTGACCGAACTGTGCTTCTCATCGAGGTTGCGCTTCACACTGCATTCACACATCGCGCGCTTCAAAATCACCCCTCCAACCCTTTAGTAACAATTGTGACAAGCATGGCGACTCAGTGGCTAAAGGAGTAGTGGTTGGGCTGATATCCCAAATGTTCCGAGTTCAACTGGCTCTCCTGCTTTCTCTGCCTGATAAGATCAAATAAAATCGAAATCGCTTGTGGAGGGAGCCGTTTTCTGCCGAGCAACAACTAATCTATACTCACATTCATACTATTTAGAAGCGAAGATGTCAGCTTGCAGAGCACTGGGTTCGCATCGCAGATGTGCGCACGTTCAGGTTCATTTCCGCTGATAGATAAGGAGACAAAGGTTTTATCCCAACAACTGAATCTACAAACAGATGAACCACCGTGCCGCAGGATTTCTCAAGTGTTTTAAAGTAGCCAGGTGAGGATACCACACTGAGTGGTATACTGGACCTCAATGTACCGCATTTTTGTTAGGCCTTTGGGGGATCATAGCAAAAAATTAATCACTGCTGATGGCTGATAGTGAACTCATCCTTACAATAATGTTGTCACTCAAGAAGAAATAAAGACCAAAAAGTTTGGTATCCACTTTTTGTAACCGAAATTACGCATGCTATTTGTAATTTAATTCGATGATTTAACGCATTAACATAGTGTTTCATACAGCTGGTCGTGCCGCAATCTGCCATCAAATCTCTAGTGCTTCCTCTCATGAATTTAGAGCCACACAGAGCACGCAGTGGAGAGTGAACTTGGATACCTAGCACATACAATAATAAAACCTGCGCCGCATACGGTTTAACCTCAGTGTGAAACGCCTGTTAAGTATTAAATGAACAATGAACAATGAATTTAAACGGGTTAAGAAGCGTTGCTTTACAAGTCCCGTTGGATAGTTAATGGGGAAATGGATACAAAAATAATGATAATAATGATAGTAAACCAGTTAGTACTATAAATATGAAAATAAGAACTTATCGTTTGCTTCGCTGTAGTCCTGCGATCCTCTTAGATTCACAGCACCCACAGTTAACAACAAATAATTCCATGGTATACTCCAGGTGTAAGATGGAGACGTAGTGTTAAGTAACAAAGTGTAAGTGGATGAGTGCATCGTCCAAACGTCTTTTATATACTATTATTGTCGGTGCAGGGACGACCGATTCTGGGAGAGCATTCCACGGGTGACAGACACGAATGGAAAAGAAATTTCTGCGGCACTCCAGAAGACTGTATTGTTCTGCGAGTTTTAATGAGTGGCCCTTCAGGTTTGTATTGCTGCTGAGTTGCAGTAAAGGGCGACCCACATGATGTGGGTCTCGCAAAACCAAGTATGCCATAATAAAGTCGCCTCGTAGTCTGCGATATCTTCAACTGAATAATCCCAGTCGTTGCAGCCTCTCCTGGTAGGAAAGATTGCGCATTCCAATTAAGTTCTTAGATGCTCGGTGTTGTGGCTGCTCCAGTGCATTAAGGTCGTGTTTCAGCCATGGATGCCAGGCTTGAATTGCATATTCGACATGGGGGCGAACATACGCACTGAGCATTTGTCGAAATATGGAGCGGTTTATTTGTCCAAACGCCCGCCTCAACAGCCCGACGTGTTGGTTCCCGGTCTTCGAGGCCTTTTCACAAACAGGCGAAAATAGGAATGCGGTGATAGACATATTCAGCAGGCAGCTGGACACTTCGCTAACTTATCCTCAATTTTCGCTTAGAAAACAGTGACTCCAACGCTTCCAATGGTCTATCTGGTAAACTTTTAAGCGCAGAAAATTTATGAGGGAAGATGAGATAAATTACGTTTTTGACGGGGACTATGCATCAAGCCCAAGTGAAATTATGACTGCCGACAGTGAACCGGAACTGCGTGGCAAATGCATTACTTTGGAATGTACACACCGGTGTATGAGTAACTATCTCAAACCTAATGGGCAACAAAGTTTCAAAGGTGGTGGAGATTCCAAATAGCATAAAACCGGTTGGATCTGCATATTTGTTAGTGTCTGGTTAGTTGGGATTTTGGTAACGGCTAGAGATCGATGAGTGTGATGAACTCAGTGAAACCGTAATTCACGTAGCGACAAATCAATCGGTTGGAGATGGAGTGAGCCATTGGAGTAAAGAGAATGGCTTTCATTGTGTTGTTTAGTTCACCTGAATTCGGTCAGACCCATCCTCCAATGAGCGAAATTGAAGTATAGATCAAAAATAGGCATCGAGATCAATAAAATCTCTAAAGCGTGTCCCGAACATATCCGAACCTGTCCATAGAACAAGATGATTTCCATTGGTTTAGATTGTCCACTTGTCATGCACAACCTCCCTAGCCGGTTTCCCGTTGCGGACGCGATTTATCAAGCCTGTACAACATCCGGCAGCTACTTCACATGAACTTCACGCGCTGATTACAGTCAAAAACGCTGCTTTTAGCACTGTGGAATTAAATAGGTGCTGATGATTTGGGGAAAAATAGCATTCTTTAATAGTAACGGATCTAAGAGGCATGGCATATTCCGTTTTTCAACTGAAGTGCACTGAGCAATACCGTGGATTTTATTTAAAGCAATAAATATAGTTTCTTTGGGTTACCCTGAACGGTCAAGAGAAGCCCAGAATCGTTGTGTTATTTCCTGTTATTATTTCCTGTTATTTCCACTAGGTCAATGAGTGTGCAAAAAGTAGACGAATATTATTACAAGCAGCACATACCTTTGTAAATCCGTTTTCATACCAGAGTCCTTTTATCGCATTCTCTTTGCCCAGAGTCCATGGACAGCGCGTCATTGCAATGTTGTACTGCTTTATCGTGTTGTCCATTGGGTTGGCAGTCAGTCTCTACTGCACCGGAAGACGGACAGCCGAACTGGAGCACGCATTTGTGGTAAGCACCCCTGTTAGCCGCAGATGCAATGTCTGTGTTTACTCAGCTATTGCTTTCGAGGGAATATATGCGCGCATCGCTATCCAGGAAAATAACAGGTAGCAGAGCAGTACGTATTACCCTTAAGCACTCAGTGGAAAGAAGTTACAGTTTTGTTGAGACATAAATCAGGCTCGCTGCTCGAGGCAAACAGTTATCGCCCAATAAGTGCACATCTATTCTATCGAAAATGATGGAGCGACATATCAAGACTAGACCTGTCGAATTCGTACTGTCAAAAAAGCCCATAAACAACTCTCAGCAGGGTTTCCTGAGCAATCGATTTTGCATAACGTGCCTTATAGAATTTCCAAATCATATAACTGCCCCACATGATTTTGCTATGTCTGCAAATCTAATTTACCTCGACATGTACAACACCTTTGTTTGGGTGTCACATGAAAAATAATAGCTAACAAGAAGCTATACGGAATGGGAGCCCCTGTTTTCCTGGTTCAGGACTTACCTTAAGAGTTCCTGAATACAAACCTGAGTCTACCCCTGTCATCAGTGGTGTGATACAATGCAGTGTCCTTGGGCCACTACTGTTCTGAATAAATGACAACGACATCTTCGATGCGGTACCGTTCGGTACGCCATACCACTTTGCCGATGGCATCAAAGTCACAAACACTTTCCGTCCGGATGCCCATAATGATGCTGTCAAGTTGATCCAACTTGACTTACATGCGTTTGAAACCTGGTGCTCGAAGGGGAAACTCTTTTCTCTACTGACATTGGGTACGCAACGTCCCACTGATGTGAGATTACACTCATAGTCGCCTGACAATTGATGATAAACCATTTTACCTCTTACAGTGAACGGTCTGGGATTGCGGAATGCATACGCACTTGACTTCTGTGAATACGTAGGCCATGCCACCGCGAAGACAAGATGGAACATTGACTGATGGTTGGGAATTCTTCTCCACCGGAGTCCGTATTTCATTGTTATATATCGCTTATTCGACTCACATTGGAAAATTGTTCACACACATAAATAGGCACGTTCCCAGCCTCAACGTAACATTGATGCAACCAACCGTCTACAACATACGACATAAACGAAACTCTGTGACAGAATAAAAGTCCATGGCCCAACGTTTTTCTAATAGGTACGCCAGAAGCTAGAACAAGCTACCGGCCAGAATGTGTACCTGCACTCCTGAACACGAATTCCGCAAAAGCCCTTATAAGTCCAAGCTGTAGGGAATATAATCAATCTGTTTGCGTGTTCTACAACTACAAGCCAAGCATGCAAGCAGGATCCAGAGTTCCTATGACCTGGTATGTATTTCGCCACCATACTTTCTCTTGTGAGTTACCTGTTTTATAATAAGGTATGTGAGAGTCATCGCGACGAGACTTGATCATAATGTAATGCGATGATTTGCATGCCTCATCGGTTGAGCTATGTTGGGTGGTGCTTTATGCACCTCCGTGTCGATGGTTAGGGCCTGTTTGTCATTGCAGCTTACGCCCCCAGAGACTGTAGCACTGACTCGGTGAAATTTGATATATCACCAACTGAACGAGCTCTTTCATCTCAGAAAGAGTGCGGTGCTTACTGGTGCTTTGAACGCCCAAGTTGGGAAATCTCTCACTGGTGGGTTGCATCTGGGAGGCCAACACGATTCAGGCTCCTGTAACGATAACAGTGAGTGGTTGCCACTCCTGTGTGAAGATGCACATCTATTTCTCTTGAGCATTGACTTCCGACACAGCCCCCGCCGAAGCGTGACATGGCCCCCCGCCAGCAGTGAGTCAGCCATAGACGCAAATCTAACACATCGCCATCAGTTACCGATGTAGCGGTTGTGTCTAAAACTATCTCAATTTGGTGAACGAGGGCGGACTCTGGCCACGCATTTGTGTGTGCCGATCTGCTGGTTAGTTTCGGCGAACGTCCGTAACGACGCTATGAGCACATAGATACTTGCCAAATGGTGATACCAGATGTTCTGAATTCTTAGCAAATTACGCTGGCATGTGGATTGAGTAATCACTCACTGAATAGAGTTAAAGATCACTGGTCGCATACCCGCCAGATGTTATTAGCAGCAGGCATGTCTTCCTGTAGCAAATCAAATTGTTAGTCTGGACATTGGGTCTCTGCACATTCTCTGTGACTTCCGGCTGGAAGCGAACACGATAAGACTCGCAAATTTCTTAGGGCGAAACTGCCTGCTAGCCTGAGAAGAGACCAGGAAGACTGGTGGTCCAGTCTTGCATCGGAGATGGATACAGCCACTGCCCTTGGTAACTATACTAAGTTATTGCGGCTGAAACGGAAAACGGCCAGCATGTGACCTGGTTTTAACGAGACCATGCGCGATCAAAGTAAACAGCCAATCCACAGGTTTTCAAAAATACTTGCAGCGTTGTGCCGAACACTTTGAAAGGCAGTTTAATCAACTAGAGTTGCCATCTTCGTTAGCGGCCATTGATCGCCCTACTCCCTGAGCAGTCCCCTTTGATACGCCCACACGCGCGGAAGTGGAACGTGAGATCAAACTGTCGAAATTGAACAAGGTCAAAAGAGCAGATAGATATCATCCAGCTCTCTTCAAATTCGGGGACCTGCTCCTGTAGATGACCTTCACAAATTGTGAAGTTATGGGAGCAGGAGACTGTCGCAACAGACCGGAGCCGCTTCAATGTAGTCTCAATTTTCGAAGAGGCTCACGATCGGACTGAAGCAATCACACAGGGAACAGTTTGACCCCAATTAGCTCCAATTAAATTGCCTCCGCCGTTCTGCGTAGACTAACTGGCACTAATGAAAGTCAGATTTACAAGAAGCAAGCCAGGATCCCGTCGAAATCTAGGCTGTATTGACCACAGCTTCACCCTACGTCAATTGTTAGGACACTGCTATATCTATTGGCGATCCACTGTAGTCGTGTTACTTAATATCAAAGGTGATTTCGACTCAGTGGATCGATGTGCCCTTTAAAACTCTCTGCACAGGAGAGGTGCGCCTGAAAAATACGAAACCATTATGGGAGCGTTGTGTGCGCATAGTCCAGGTAGAGTGATGGCTTATGGCAAACGGTCGCCGCCCTTCGATATCTCCAGCGGTGTGCGTGAAGGTTAGCTATTGTTACCTTTCTAATTTAACTTTACTATCGAAGGAATCATGGAAACCGCGCTCATTGGACACAAGTTAGAAAATGTGAAATCACTCCCAGCTGAACGACTTTTTGAGTTGAAGTATGCCGACGACATTGCCCCAATCTGTGACAGCTCTCAAATGTGCCAAGCAGCCCTGGACAGATGAGCACTGGCTGTCAGTCGTTTTAGGATATGCTTTGCCTCCTCGAAGTGCAAAGATTTCCTCCAAGGTTGCAGGAACCCAGTACTGAGCTGACTCTTGGTATGGATCAGCCAGAAGCAGTACAGAAATTCACGTATCTTGACAGCTATATTAGCGCCAGTGGAACATGAGATTGCAAGCGGAGGGTCAAAAGCCCGAGGTGCTTTTGCTAATCTTTATCTATTGCGCCGGCGCAACATCACGCTCGCATTGAAGGACAGAGCTTATAAGGCAATCTTGCGTTCAGTTATTCCGTAGGGTTGTGAAACCTGGCCTAGCATGTCGACAGACCTAAAGTGGTTTGTTATATCTGACCATCGATGTCTTCGCAGTTTAGCACACGTCTGGTGGGGATACCACGCGAGTAATGAGGGTGTTCGGTGGCGCGTACTTGGTGCAGGAAGAGCGAGTAAATCGCTCAGCGCCGTTATCTCATACCTCTGGCTCCAATGGCTGAGCCACTTGTTGAGCATGCCATCACACCGACTCCCGCGACGTGCGTTGTTTGTGCGCCTGTGGTGTGGACGGAAGAAGCGGAGGTAGGCCAAGAGATGATTTGGTCAGGAGAAATGAGGTTCATCACTTTGGTCGGTGTCTCCTGACTGCCAGGCTGGGGTCCGAAGGATTATGAACACGTTTGATTGAATGAACTAGGTGACATGGCAAGGCGCCGACTTCAATGGCGCTTGTGTTGTCTCTTTGTCCCTCCCCTTATCACTTAGCTTTCTCTTCCAACAGTGCTTTCAGAGTGCATGGATCATATAACGCTTAGCATTCTAGTACTTGAATTTTAGTTTTTTATTCTGTACTGTTTGGCACATCGCACATGATAAGTCTTATGTATTGCGGCACAGTTAGCTGAAGTGCGTTGCTCACCGTTAACTACCATGTACTGAGGGTGCTGATAATAGCTGAGGGAGCAGTTAAAGGCTAGCTAACATCTGTGTTTCAGTCAGCTACATATTACGCTTTAGCTGTCCTTCAAAACGTCATTCTCTGATCTGACTTTTAAATTTTGTGATCCACATGTGTTCATGGTTCTAGATAAGTGTGCACCTACTTCGGAAAACTCTATGTTGTTGCTACATGGCACTGCGCACGTGCGCACACTTGGAGGAACGAACAACACATCAACTGCCCCTCGACATTCTTTTCCTCTGCAACTGAATTGAGGAGAAAGACTAGCTAACGAAGATATTATGCGAATCAAACGACGACCCATACTTGTTCTTTGAGCTGGACAGTCGGTTTAATTGCACTGCGCCAAGCATGTTTCTAACTCGCTAACGTAGGCCAATCCAATCATTCCTTGTCCAAAGCATTGCTTCTTCTCCTTCATGAAAAGTAGAATCAATCGCATAGTGTGCATCTGGCCCATCCAATCATTACTAATAGCATTGGTAGCTCGAGATGCGGGTGATCACGTTGAAGTATGCGCCGAGTTGGTGGATATTACTGTTGACACTTAGTCGATGCAGTATCCAGAGAAGTGATCCACCTATTGCCTAGAGCAGTAACAAAAAGTTTTCAACGAAATCATCAGGCTCGAAGAACAATTCAGCCCCGTTACCATGCAATTATCGACCGTTGGCCGACTCAGCGACAAACTGCCAAACAGTGAAGGTACCGGTGGTCGAACGTAACA